GTACGTACGTACTACACACACACACACACACACACACACACACACACACACACACACACACACACACACACACACACACACACACACACACACAGACTCTGAACCTTGGCTCGGAGTGCCAGAGTGACATCAGTGCTAGCCCTGAGGGCTGCAGGGAACACAGAAGAAGAATGTCTGAGAGAATAAATGCAGGGTTTATTGACTCCTTTCCCCTCTTCCAGACGATGGGATCTGTCTTCTTTGTCTCCACTATTCTCACTAATTCTTATCTCTTTCATTCCTTCTCCCTACTTTTTTTGAATATATCGTCTCCTTTGTTTTTTTCCCAGACCAAAGCCAGACAAAGGAACAAAAATACCTGGAACTCAAACTGATAAGATATGCATGCAATTGGCATAATTATTGCCGGGGAACTCACAGTTCAGTCACGTTTCTTGGGATGCCTTTGGGCAGTGTGTGGAGGTGCTTGTTACTGCAGCGGACAACAGTCTCCAGGCAAGTACATTCACTGGGACACTGGGGTCTGGGCACACAGCTTGACGACTCCTCTTGTCCTGGGAAAAAAGAGAGGAGACAGAGGCGAGTCAGATACCAGACAAGAAGAGAAACGAGGAATGACCAGGAGGAAAGATGTGGAGGATAGCAGAAAGAGAGCTGTTGTCCCTGGAAAATAAATGGTAGAAAGACAAAGCAACAGTGCCAAAGCAATCCTTCTAGCTGAAAATTAAAAAGGAGGAAGTGACAAATGTGAAAAGTAAGTTAGCACAGAGGGAGAGGAGCCTCGCTAATGTAATATCGATTAGCCAGAGCAAAGAAAGGAAGCTGCCTGAAACCCAAAGACAAGTCCAACATTCATTCAGGTGCAAATAGGCTGACTGGTCAATAAGGCAAACAGCTCAATAGCTCCACTCAGCCTGGCATCGACCAGCAGCTTAGGAACTGCTGAGTAGCAATCTATTCAGTAAACAAAAGAGTCACACAATAGCGGTCATTATTTAAGATGATCTCAGACACTTTAAGCAGCTCTCGGTCATGATGTATTGTGGAGCAGAGTGCAACGTTAAAATCCTCATCAGTCATACCCAGACAGGTTAGTTTCCCACATAGTGGAGGTCGACTGCTATATTGAAGATGTGTATCTGCTTTCACAGAGACGGATTACTTCATTTAAAGTGGGGAAGCTGCAACGAAAGTTCAGATACGGTCTGAAAAAGGACATACAGAAAGAGCCTTAAATCAGAGGCAGTGTGTTGTGTGTCTTGGCACTACATACCCTCCTCACAGCGGAAGTCAGGCAGAGCAACATCCTGCAGAGGGATCTCCTTCAGGAAGGCAGGACGCTGGCAGCGAGGGTTACCGGTCACAATCTTCCTCGTCCTCAGCCAATCGCCGAGCCAGCCCAGCCGGCAGTCACAGTTGAAGGAGTTGGCCAAGAGGTTACTGGGGGAAAGTGAGCGTAAGAAGGTTTGTGAGAGCTTTGAAACATTAAATGCATGATTGAAGTTGTGTGCAAGCCAGGGACTCACAGTGTGGAGAGAGTCTGCAGAGTGTCGAATGCTCCTGGATTGATCGTGGTCAGCTGGTTGTCGTACAGAGACAGCAGGCGGACGTTGTGCAACCCTGTGAAACTGTCGTTGTGGACGCAGCTGATCTTGTTGTTCCTCAGCATCCTAAAGAGGAAAGAAATCAAACACAGAATCATTAAACATCCAGAATAGTATCTTGACTGTAGACACACACCATGCTTGAGTGTGTGATTGTATGTGTAGATGCATTACTCACAGCATGCGCAATCCCTCAAGGCCGCGGAACATCCCGCTCCGGACCGAGTCGATCTGATTGGCCGTGAGGTGAAGCTCATTGACGGAAGACGCCCCTTCAAACGACCCATCTTCAACCTCCGTGATCTTGTTGTTGCTGAGGTTACTGTCAAGGAAGTACATTCATATTTAGATAATGACTGCTGGAAGGTAAAGTTAAAAAGTAAAATAAAAGTCCAACTTACATTTTCTTAAGCTGGGAAAGGTTCTTAAAAACTCCAGTTGCCTCCAGAGTCGTAATCTCATTGTTGTTAAGGCGGCTGGAGAGAAAAAGTTGAAAATAAATAATGAAACAAATCAATTGAAATGTAAAGTTCTCTTCAAATATTTCTATTCCCTTCAAAACAAATTCAAAGGTCACTCTTTACTTATTCTCCATTCTCTTCATGCTGTCTCTGCTAACTCTGTCGCCTTCAGCATTGATTGAATTATTTATTTGCTATGGTCAAACTGGTTATTTTATAGCTCAATTTCAAACTTAATCTTTACAAAACCTTGCAGATAAAATCTGCTACAAAAAAGATTCCCTTCCTCAAGTACAATTTGCTTTGTCATACAGCCAACAGTTTTCCACATAATGGATGTCATTTTAATAAAAATGTAATATATTATGTCCCCGTAGATAGGAAAGTCAAACAGAAAGTGCACCTCATTTTCAATTTCACCTAGCTCACCCAACAAGCAAGGTCTATCCTCCTTTGGAGGGGCATTAACATGCCTGTCTCTGGAGCTTTGGTAATGTTCCTGAGCCTAACTGTGCACAAAGGGACCTTTGTCTTTGGATGAGGTTATATTTCACATAAGGTTCATAGTATTTATTCTTTATGAGCTGTTAAGTCACATCATTTTCGTTTACATCACATAATAACCGACCATCACAAAGAACCTGCTATGGAATTCATGTTTATGTATTTTATTTTTTATACACTAAAAAAGGTTTTATCCGCATAATCCGAGGATTACCACCAAAAATGTAAAGAGTCTCTGATCAGACAACTATACAAGTCTACTCCAAAACTAAGCATTTGAAATGAATATCTGATGTTTGGAAGTTTCCTCTCATGGCCAAAGTGGAAGTTCATGTATGGAGTCCTAAAAGGAGATTGAATAGCTCTATAATGTTCAGTGTAACAACTTCCTCTTCAACATCATGCTCTTGAGAAGCTTGCACTTATGTCTGTGATTGTGTGCCTAGTCAGACACAGGACATACACATTCCTTATTATCTCTTTCTGTTAAAAGTGTTCCTGATTGCTTACAGTTCAGAGGTGGATGAAGGGATGTGCTCAGGGATCTTGGTGAGTTTCAGGTTGGAGCAGTCCACTACGTTCGACTCACAGCGGCACTTGGGAGGACAGACTGGGTCGCTGTTGCAGGCGTTATTCAGACGGGTGTCCTCTGTACCTGAACAGGTACAAATTCACACACAGATTGACATCAGTCTCTTCCCTATAACAAGAAACATGCCTCAGTCGCCCATGATGCAGTAGTCAGGCATGAGCTGGATGTCAGTTTGTCCTGTCTTTCCTAACAAATCTTTAACCTTAGGCACGCTGTAGAACATCCTGCAGCTCTGCTACTATTCATAGGACAGAAATGAACAGGTGAGGGCAAGGAGATGGAAGGGTGGGGGCGAGGGTGAGTTATTTTAGAGAGGTGATAGAGTGGGAGCAGTGGGGTGAAAAGAACAGTGGCAGGGGAGATTGAGATAGGGATGCCAAAGAGGATTTAGGCTGCCAGCTTTAGTGAAGCAGAGCACCCAAGAGAGAGCACAGGAAGCGTGTGTAGACAGGTGGAGTCAAAGGAGAGGAGAGGTAGCAAACACAAAAAGAAGGGCATGAGGGACAGAAATGCATGCAGGGAAGAAAAGGAAGAGAGATGTGAACATGCAGATGAGAGAGAAATGAAAGGTGAGTGGCAAAGGTGCAGAAAGACGTCTGTCCTGAGAGAGGAGGGGCAAGAATTAGGCAGCATGGGGAATGTGGGACGCTTTCCTGCACCTCATCTGTCTATGAATAGACGTTACGTGCCAAAAAGCGTGCTGCCAGTTACATCATGGCTGCTCAATAATGGAGAAGCACTGGGAGCCACTTAGAACAGTGTGTGTGTCTAAGTTTGTGTATTGTGTCTCCGTGTCTTTGTATATATGTGCGTGTAGACTTAATGTGTGTGCAAATGTCCCATTTAGAGGGAACAGCCCAGTGATTTCTGTGGATATCCTGACATCTTGTTCCCTTTCTTGCATGGTCACACCGGTGGGCCTCCGGTTTGGTAATGACGTCAGCACCATCGGACACCGAGCAGGAAAACCTCAAACAACCAGGAAAAAACCCTACATTTAATGCACCAACATTATTTTCACATAAATGGAGCGTCATTTGAAACCATGACCTAACCCCAAATCCTCATTTGTTATGCTATTAGAATCCGTTTGGACAGAAAAAGAGTGAATTTGCAGTCTCAGAAATGACTTCCAGTGGCTGCCAATGCAAAGACTTTCCTTAATCTGTGTCACTTCTCAGAGTGGCTCAGTGGAAGGTGCGGATAGCCCCACTAATGTAGGTCATTAACAAACTTTCCCTCGCCAGGCCATACAACAGGAAAAGACATTTCCTGCTACAGAGGAAGCAATGAAAGTACAGCTCAGCGCTTTGATCTTGAGGATGTAAAGGAGCCGGGGGAGATTCGTGACGAGCCTGAGTCATCGTCATCGTCACAAGTGGGTGGTGGCGACACTTTTACTGTCAGCAGATTTAAACGAAACAGGAGAAAATGCAGGAGGAGACGAATTAGGTTTTTCCCTCTCTGAGGCACAAAATGACTCATCGCTGGAGTTGTAGGAGTTCTCACAATTCCCCGCAGCTTGGTTCCTCATTATCAATGGATTATGGAATTCCTGTGCTGTCTGTGATTGTGTGTGGGTTGAGTCGTGCACGTGTGTGTGTGTGTGTGTGTGTGTGTGTGTGTGTGTGTGTGTGTGTGTGTGTGTGTGTGTGTGTGTGTGTGTGTGTGTGTGTGTGTGTGTGTGTGTGTGTGTGTGTGTGTGTGTGTGTCGTGTAGTTACGTA